CAATAGCTTGCATTTAAAAACAAAAAACTTTTTTCACTGTTATAGATTGAATAGCAGTCAGTGTCCTTAAAGCGGCTGTGTCGGGCTCACAGTGGATACGGTGCCCAGTGCCACCACTCACTGGTGTCACAATAGCTTGCATTTAAAAACAAAAAACTTTTTTCACTGTTATAGATTGAATAGCAGTCAGTGTCCTTAAAGCTGGTGTGTCAGGCTCACAGTGGATACTGTGCCCATTTGCCCAGTGCCACGACTCATATCTGGTGTCACAATAGCTTAAGCTTGACATTTAAAAAGAAACAATTTTAAGTTAGTTGTCTGCAAGAGTCTGGGTGTCAGGCCTCCTTAAGCGTGTGCTCTGCAGACCTCTGCCTGTCTACTTTGCAACTCATATCTGGTGTCTCTATAGCGTGCTTTTACAAAGAAAAAAAGTTTTTCAGTGTAAGCTAATAGCAGTCAGTGTCCTTAAAGAGGGTGTTAGGCTTCCTTCAGCGTGTGCTCTGCAGACCTTTGCCCGTGTACTTTGCCACTCATATCTGGTGTCTCTATAGCAAGCTTTTACAAAGAAAAAAAGTTTTTCAGTGTAAGCTAATAGCAGTCAGTGTCCTTAAAGCGGGTGTCAGGCCTCCTTCAGCGTGTGCTCTGCAGACCTCTGCCCGTGTACTTTGCCACTCATATCTGGTGTCTCTATAGCGTGCTTTTACAAAGAAAATAAGTTTTTCAGTGTAAGCTAATAGCAGTCAGTGTCCTTAAAGCGGGTGTCAGGCCTCCATCAGCGTGTGCTCTGCAGACCTTTGCCCGTGTACTTTGCCACTCATATCTGGAGTCTCTATAGCGTGCTTTTAAAAAGAAAAAAAGTTTTTCAGTGTAAGCTAATAGCAGTCAGTGTCCTTAAAGCGGGTGTCAGGCCTCCATCAGCGTGTGCTCTGCAGACCTTTGCCCGTGTACTTTGCCACTCATATCTGGTGTCTCTATTGCGTGCTTTTACAAAGAAAAAAAGTTTTTCAGTGTAAGCTAATAGCAGTCAGTGTCCTTAAAGCTGTCAGGCCTCCTCAGCGTGTGCTCTGCAGACCTTTGCCCGTGTACTTTGCCACTCATATCTGGTGTCTCTATAGCGTGCTTTTACAAAGAAAAAAGTTTTTCAGTGTAAGCTAAAAGCAGTCAGTGTCCTTAAAGCAGGTGTCAGGCCTCCTTCAGCGTGTGCTCTCCAGACCTTTGCCCGTGTACTTTGCCACTCATATCTGGTGTCTCTATAGCGTGCTTTTACAAAGAAAAAAAGTTTTTCAGTGTAAGCTAATAGCAGTCAGTGTCCTTAAAGCGGGTGTAAAGCCTCCTTCAGCGTGTGCTCTGCAGACCTCTGCCAGTGTACTTTGCCACTCATATCTGGTGTCTCTATAGCGTGCTTTTACAAAGAAAAAAAGTTTTTCAGTGTAAGCTAATAGCAGTCAGTGTCCTTAAAGCGGGTGTCAGGCCTCCTTCAGCGTGTGCTCTGCAGTCCTCTGCCAGTGTACTTTGCCACTCATATCTGGTGTCTCTATAGCGTGCTTTTACAAAGAAAAAATGTTTTTCAGTGTAAGCTTATAGCAGTCAGTGTACTTAAAGCGGGTGTCAGGCCTCCTTCAGCGTGTGCTCTGCAGACCTTTGCCCGTGTACTTTGCCACTCATACCTGGTGTCTCTAAAGCGTGCTTTTACAAAGAAAAAAAGTTTTTCAGTGTAAGCTAATAGCAGTCAGTGTCCTTAAAGCGGGTGTCAGTACCTCTGCCGTTGTACTTTGCCACTCATATCTGGTGTCTCTATAGCGTGCTTTTACAAAGAAAATAAGTTTTTCAGTGTAAGCTAATAGCAGTCAGTGTCCTTAAAGCGGGTGTCAGGCCTTCAGCGTGTGCTCTGCAGACCTCTGCCAGTGTACTTTGCCACTCATATCTGGTGTCACAATAGCGTGCATTTAAAAACCAAAAACTTTTTTCACTGTTATAGATTGAATAGCAGTTAGTTGTCTCAAAGCGGTGTGTCAGGCTCACAGTGGATATTGTTCCCAGTGCCACCACTCACTCACTGGTGTCACAATAGCTTGCATTTAAAACCAAAAAACTTTTTTCACTGTCATAGATTGAATAGCAGTTAGTTGTCTCAAAGCGGGTGTGTCAGGCTCACAGTGGATACTGTGCCCAGTGCCACCACTCACTCACTGGTGTCACAATAGCTTGCATTTTAAAACAAAAAACTTTTTTCACTGTTATAGATTGAATAGCAGTTAGTTGTCTCAAAGCGGGTGTGTCAGGCTCACAGTGGATACTGTGCCCAGTGCCACCACTCACTCACTGGTACCCGGATGAAATTTCTTTTCACAAAAGGCAATCCCCAACCTGTACTCGATTGTGCAAAAGGAAATAATGGCATGTCTGGCACACAGTGTTGGGGCAAGGGTCCATCTGACCACTGATACCTGGTCTGCAAAGCATGGTCAGGGCAGGTATATCACCTACACTGCGCATTGGGCAAACCTGCTGACGGCTGCCAAGCATGGAATGCGTGGCTCTGCAGAGGAGTTGGTGACACCACCATGACTTGCAGGCAGGCCTGCTGCCACCTCCTCTACTCCTCCTACTCCATCCTCTTCCATAACCTCCTCGGCTGAGTCCTCTTCTGCTGCTGCGTCTTGCTCCACATCAACGGATAGGGGACGTAACAGTGATTAAACTGATAACAATAGTACTAAACACACCACTCCTATCTGATGGCACATTAGATTGCACGCGCAGTGCCCCAAATTTGTTGTGATCTGTGAGTAAGGTAAACGGTTGTCCATACAAGTAAGGTTGCAGCTTTTTGAGGGCTCACACCACCGCCAGGCACTCCTTTTCAATGGCAGTGTATCTACTTCCCTGGGCAAAAGTTTCCGGCTTAGATAAGCCCCGGGTTGCTCGCCGCCATCTGCTCCGACTTGGCTCAGTACTGCTCCCAATCCAAACATAGAAGCGTCTGTATGGACGAGAAAGCGTTTAGTTGGATCAGGACAAGAAAGTACAGATGATTTAATGAGCGCCGTCTTGAGCTGTTGGAAGGGCTGTTCACACTCTGGGGCCCATACTACTATCTTGGGGAGGTTTTTACACGTTCCTACATGGCACTTACTGGGCTTTAGGGTCAGTCCGGCCTCCCTAATCCGGTCTAGTACGGCTCCTATGTGGGTCAGGTGTTAGGGCCAGGAGCAGCTAAAAATGGCTATATCATCCAAGTAGGCGCAGGCATACTCCTGAAACCCATCCAGTAGCCGATCTACCATCCTCTGAAAGTTAGCAGGGGATAACAACGGGGCTAATAAAGGTACAATGAGATTCTTGTCTACTATAAAGGTTCCGTGTGATCCTAAACACGTCTGCTTGAAGAGATCTGAGCCTGTCCAGTTAGGGCTCAGAACCATGTGAGTGGTTCTATATTCATCACAATTTTTTTCACTATCATTTGTGATATACTACACCATATTATTGTCTGTTCTGTCCCCACGTATAGGTAATTTTACACAGACCAAGAGTGGGGTGAGTTACCTCACTTGGAGCGCTCCACCTATAGATTGGTTCTGGTTTATTAACCATTGCTTTTACCTTCCAATCTTTGTATTATACCTCCATAGAATATATGCACTGATTGCCCTTCACTTAATATGATAGAACAAACCAGTTACTACTGCACAGAAGGTGGATTTGACTAAGAACGAGTGGTGGAATGCAATGGTTGTAATGCAAAGATGGACGCCACTAGAGTCAGAATGAGGTTTGACTCGTGGAGGCAATCTTTGAATGAAAGGAGGGGAGAATTCTGCTGAGTGGACTAATGGGGCTTATGGCATAGCCTCTTCAATTTAAAACAAGGCTTGAACTATCTGTTTCTGAAAGGTGGAACGCACGTCAGACCCATTTGGCCACAGAAAGACGTGATTAATAATTCATTATATGGATATATAAACACCAGTACACAAGTGGCTTTATTACTGATTGAGAAAGCCTGAATAGGTGAAACGCTTTTTGGACAAGCCCCATTTATTGTTTTATTGTGATTTTATATTTGTATCTTTATTTCTCTAATAAATTTGAATATTCCTTAATTGGGAGATTTCCTGTATATCTTTGGAGGGTAACACCACCCCAATAAATAGGTGTCCACTTTGCAAATACAGCCTATAGGAAAAGGCCCTTTTAAATGTGAGTGTATTTCAAATTTGATTTCTGGTCTTTAAGACATATTACACTATTTCTGCACTTTTCCTGTTTTATATATCAACTCCAAGGGAATTGGAAAAAGGCCTCTCAAAGTAGGGTGGGAGTCCCCTGTTTTTAAAGACTCCATATGCTGTCAAGATTGAGACATTATTAAAGCCTCCCCAATTGTGAGTTGGTAATTCTACCATCACCTCTATTGGTATTGATCTTTAACTTTGAATATCAGATTGTCTGCACTATGAAATTCATAGTTTAATTTTTTAGGTCTTTTAATTGTCAACAAAAACTGGAAAGTATCAACCTCTATCATCTTTTTGTTTCACATATTGTAAATCACTGTTTGAATTGGACTTGAAAAGTTCACTGTTTTATTTGCATATGATATTATTATTGCATTAATTTGAATCAGAGACTTGGTACACTTTAGACTATACAAGTTATCAATGTTCCCCAGCACTTTTAGCACTATGACTGCACAATATTTGCAACACTTTGTTTTAGTCTTCTGATACATTTATTGTGGTTTTTATAAACTCTCCACTCTCTTTCTACCACACTGACAAAACATAACTAATCCAAAGATGATAACAGACAGAAACCTGCAGATGAGGCTCCTTTTCTAACTTTTTTCTATCTTTTTCAGCTCTGCGCCAAACACAAATCTAGAAGATAAATAAAATTATGAATTTAGCAACAATTGTAGTGACCATATTAGTTCTACAATCAATAGAAAAGAGACTTGCAATATTTCAAGCTGTTCGTGGTCTTACTCAAAGAGTTAAAGGAACACTCCAAGCACCATAACCACTACAGTATGCAGTAGTAGTTATGGTATCAAGAGTGCCCTGATGCACCCCGATGTAAATAGTCAAATCGTTTGACAACTACAGAGCACTGTTTTGGTCATGATACTTGGAGTAGCCCTTTTAATTCTTAGAAACACTTACAGCATAATAATGCAATACAGTAGAAACAGTGGGTTTTTCTTTATATCCACGCTGGGGCTCCCCCTTCTCATCTCCTACTTTGTCAGTCATAAAATGTATGTTTTGTTATTCTTCCCACAAAAAACAGAACTCTGAACAATGCCTGTATTCCCTTAGAGTTAAAATAATCAAGAAATAATTCACTAGTAAAGAAATCATTTTAGTTTTTACCTACAGACTTGTTACTGAATCAGAATAAAGTAAAACTGAGAGAGTTGTTTACTGTTGGTCTAACCTACAGAAACAGCAAGTAAATCTCATTCAATTTGGTTTCTTAATTAAGAAATTCACTGTAAACAACTAACTAAAAACACAGGTAGAATTCAGCACTCGGAAAAGCACGTACGGATGTAGAGTCGTGTGCTCATGCCTTAGGCCCATCCAAAAATAGAAGCAAATTTAACTTTTAGACAACATATATTTCTACTTTATATCACAACTTTTCAAGCAGCCAGGTATATTGGGTGTTAGGAATAGTTTTATTTAGTTTAGATATTTAATAGCAAGTAGTTTGAAGGTAAATAAAACTAAATTGCACTTATCCAAACTAAATTTTCCAAGAATCGTGACAAGTCAACAAAACAGCAATGTTTGAAATTCATTGATTAAAGGTACACTCCGAACACTAATACAACTCTAGTGCATTTGGTATTTTTTGCATGTACAAATCTTGATATTATTTGCACACAAAAAAGTTTTGCAAAATACTACCCCATAAGTTTTTAGAGAGTTGAAGGAATATGCTGCAGAGGAATGATTATTGAAATCGGCTACAAAAGGGGTGGCATCCAAAAATGTTGAAACACATATCAAGGGTAGGTAAGCATCACTCGTGATAGGGCTCCCTTAACAATAGTTGTTTTGAGTGCTAGCAATGCCACATACATGGATTAATGACAGGTGGGAACCAGGTACGCCAGGTGAATAGCAGCCTTGACACTAATATTTGGAAATATTGTAACGGTATGGTTGAGAAATAATCAGTTCTAAATTACATTAGAACCATGACTGCCTCGATATTCTGACCAAAATTTGCATGTACAAATCTTTATATTTTTTGCACAAAAAAATGTTTTGCAAAATACTACCCCATAAGTCTTAAGATGTTAATATTTGGAAATATTGTAACGGTTTGGTTGAGAAATAATCAGTTCTAAATTACATTAGAACCATGACTGCCTCGATATTCTGACCAAAATTATGTGTAATATGTGAGTATGCTATGTGTGAACAATAGTGTTATGTGATCAGTCCTAGGGGGTGGTTAACAAACCAACTGTTACTTCTCAATCCAGGGGACGTATATATGATAAAATGTATCCAGAGAAGTTACAATCATGTAGATAAGCGAGAACTGTGTAGAACTGTGTAGACTACAACGACCTTTATTCTGTACTCGAATTCTCTCATTTTGCATACATTTGTTTCCATTTATTGTTCTTTACTGTAGTTATCTCCATTTTTTTGTTTTTTATTAAGAGAATTTAGAGACTGTGCTGTCCACGTCTGACCTTTATTATTTTGATACTGGATTTTCACATATTTGTCAGTGGCCCACAAACACAAATTCCTCCTTTTCAAGAAAAATGTTTGTTGAAAAAGGTCAGTTTAAATGCCAAGGTTTCAGAGGGCCTTAACAAATAAAATGTGGTTGGCCCATTTGTAACACAAGGAATGATGTTACTATGTTCTAAACACTAATAATAAATCATGTATATTTTACATGTACAGGTTTTTTTTTTTACCAAAATGAGAATTGTTGGCAATTTATAGTGAATTGAAAGTGAAATTCAAATTTCAAGCTAAAGTAGCGGAACTGGAAGCACAGCTTATTTGGAGAATCTTTCCAGTTCAGATACTTTTTCCTTAAATTTAAAATTCACTTTGAATTTCCAAAGATTCGCATTTTAGTCAATAACCCTGTACAAAAAACCATGTTATATATATATATATATATATATATATATATATATATATATATTTACATGACTTCTTTATTGTAATCTAAACTACTGTATACTATACAGAAATGTTATCACAAGTTTGCCGCGTTTTCTTTTTTCAACAATCTTCTTCCTAAGGGGCATGCATCTAAGGCAGTGGTTTCCATATCAGTCCTCAAGGCACACTGACCAGCAGGGCCACCACCAGCTCAGCTAAAGGTCTGGGCCCCCTGGGGCCGCCTCCAATCACGCCCACAGGGTCCGCCTCCAAATCTCACCCACAGGAATACACACACACACACAAACACACACACTGATACAAAAGGACACAGATACACACACACAGATACATACTAACAGACACACATACCGAAACAGACATTATATTTATATTATATGACCACAATTTAGCTAAATGTGAGGAGGGACTAGTTACTAGCTATTTTCTCTTAGCCAGGATCAGACTATGTTTACTCTTAAATAAAATGGAGAGCGTGTATTAAAAAAAAAAAAGGTTACAAAATTGAAATCTCTTTAGTTTGGATATCGGCAATTCAGAGGGGATATGATAACATTATACAAATATATTCAGGGCCAGTACAAACCATTATCTAGAAATCTATTCATAAACAGGCCTATACATAGGACACAAGGTCACACATTTAGGCTGGAAGAAAGGAGATTTCCTCTATGGCAAAGAAAAGGTTTTTTTTTTTTTACAGTAAGAGTAATAAGGATATGGAATTCTCTGCCTGAAGAGGTGGCTTTATCAGAATCCATACAGATGTTTAAACTGAATTAGGATAAATACTTGCAAAAACATAATATAAGAGGAATATAGTTTCTAATTAGTGGGGTAATAGCTGCTTGATCCAGGGAAACCATCTGACTGCTATTTTGGGGTCAAGAAGGAATTTTTTCCTTGTTTGTTGCAAAATTGGAAGCACTACAGACTAGGTTTTTTGCCTTCTTTTGGATCAACTGCAAAAACATATGTGAGGAAGGCTGAACTTGATGGAAGCAAGTCTCTTTTCAGCTATGTAATTACGTAACTATTTATCTATGTAACGATATGTATAGAGGCTTAAATAAGCAGGCTTGTGTAAAGTGAATTTCAAATTTAAGGGCAAAATAATCAAACTCAAAACAGAATTAGCTTGGAAAATTTTTCTAATTTGGCTCTTTTGTCCTAAATTTTGAAATTCACTTTGAATTCCAAAAATTTTCACTTTGGTGAATAACACAGTCACTTTTCCCTGAAACGGACAGAATGGTTTTAAGGGGAATTGTCACCTTTCTGGTAATGGCATAATTGAATGAAACATTGAAAATAACTTTTAAATTGTTTAACCATTTCCATGTGATGATCTGTATTCTTTTCAAATGTAAATTGAAGATGTTGCAGGTGACGTCACAATTCGGTTCTGTCGGGGCACAGCCAGGGTAGACAATGGAAATCAGAAGGAAAACGGAAGGATTGGTACAATTTCTCCTCTTTCACTAACCATGTTTAATGGCAGAAAAAAGCAGCATTTATATCAATGATTGACAGGGAATAAAAATGGAGGCACCTAGTACTATGATGCAAATAAAGGCAGAGGTCTGGATTTTTACATCTAATTTTATTTTTCAGACCTCAGGTAAACATATTTGCTAAATGTAGAGGCTAAGTAAACATAATTTTAAAAATCATATGAATAGACTGCCACTTACTACCGCAGGCCACACGTAGAGGGGGCCCACTGGGTGGCTCATGCTCTTAGTTCCACCTGATGGCAATGAGTCTGCAGGAGCCCGGTCAGCGCTGCAGCGCTTTAACAGCGTAGCGGGCCTCCGGTGATGAGGACAACACTTGGAGGACATGCAGTCACTTCCTTTCTAGCTAAGACAGAGAGTGTTGCATGGAAGGGAGAAAGGTAGGGGGAGCGTGGACTGGTAGAGAGCCCGACTCCCAACAGCCTCAGCCAGCCACTGGACCACAGCGAAGTCACCTTTCTGCAGCCAAAAGGGGGGTGACTAAAAATGTATATTTTCCATGAGTGTCTGTTTGTGTGTATATCTGTCTGTATGTGTATGTGTGTTTATATGTGTGTATCTGTCTGTATGTGTATATGTATGTGTGTCTGTGTATCTGTGTGTGTATCTGGCAGTATGTGTATCTGTGTGTCTGTATGTGTGTATCTGTCTGTATGTATGTGTGTTTCTGTGTGTTTCTCTGTTTATATGTGTATCTGTGTGTCTGTATGTGTCTCTCTCTCTGTCTGTATGTGTATTATTATTATTTTATTATTTATATAGAGCCATCATATTCCGTAGCACTGTACAATGGGTATCTGTGTATCTGTCTATCTGTCTGTATGTCTGTATGTGTTTCTGTGTGTGTATCTGTCTATATGTGTAAATGTATGTGCATTTGCCTGTGTATCTGCATGTGGGTCAGTGTGTGGCCCTGTGTATCTGTGTGTGTCTGTGTATCTGTATGTGTGTCAGTGTGTGTGTCTGTGCATCTGTATGTGTTAGTGTATGTCTGTTTTATTGCATTTGTGTCTGTGTATGTAGCTGTATGTGTGTTATTGTGTGTATCTGCATATATGTCAGGGTGAGTGTCTGTTTATTTGTATGTGTGCTAGCGTGTGTCTGCATGTTTGTCAGTGAGTGTTTCTTTGTGTCTGTATGTGTGTCACTGTGTATCTGTATATGCACCTGTGTGTCTGTGTATCTGTCTTTGTATGTCTGTGTATCTGTTTGTCTGTACCTGTGCATATCTGAGTTTATGTATGTGTGTATCTGTATTTGTGTCAGTGTGTGCATTTGTATGTGTGTCAGTGTGTATATTTAGTGTGGCTAAGTCTATGTTTTATATGTGTGTGTTTTTTTGTGTATTCTTTATGTGTGTCTTCGAGTGGAAGGCGTGTTTGCATG